AGTAACTTACTAGATGTGTTAGAGTCGAGAAGGTGGGATTTCCTCTGGCCCAGGTATCCAGTTTAGGGACTACTAAGGAATCTATTGTATTACTGGTCTGTAAATGTCAAGCCCTGTGTTTTCCACATGCTATAAAGCACCAGCAGAGTGCACAGTAATGCAGATCAGCCAGCTTAGGTCTGGAATAATTTTTTTTTCCAGCAAAACAAACTACATCTGATCAAGAGGCTGTGCTCAGGAAGAGGGAACACACAGAGGAAGTGTGCTACTGGTTTTTATTCTGAGGAAGGTGGTGATTGTGTCTTTTCCTGTTGGTTGGGGTCTGACCTCAATCTTACTCATTTGGCTAGTTTGAAAAGAATTGGTGCACAGGAAAATGAAGGAAGGGGAAAGGAGTCACTGCTTCAGGCTATTAAATTTCTAGAACAGGAATAGGACCTTTTGAATAAACGAAAGTTTTACTTGAGGTGAGGGGAGGGATTATAACATTTGCAAATCTTATGAGAAAGACAAAAATATTACCTTTATTGGAATTATTGCCATTTGATGTGCAAAGGAGGAACTTGTTTCCCTCAGGTAAAGGACCCAGAGTGTGGGCCTCCAGGAAGCAGTACAGTGTTGCTATATGGATTTTTGTTTGTTTGTTTTTGTTTTTGTTTTTGTTTTTTTTTTTTTTTTTTTTTTTTTTTTTTTTTTTTTTTTTTTTTTTTGTTTTTTTTTTTTTTTTTTTTTTTTTTTTTTTTTTTTTTTTTTTTTTTTAGAGACAGGGCTTCTCTGTATAGCCTTGGCTAATTCTGGAACTCACTTTGTAGACCAGGCTGTCCTCCAACTCAGAGATCCGCCTCTGCCTCCTGAATGCTGGGATTACAGGCATGTGCCACCATAGCTCAGCTGCTATATGGATTTTTTTTTAAACTATAACATTTGTATGTAGTTTTTGTAACATGAATTCAGGCAGTTTTGAATCTGTTTTGACTCTTGGTAAACTCTTGTCAATTCTGAGAGCTTGTTAGGCTTTTTTGTTGTTACTGTTGTTATTTATCTTCAGAGTGTCTGCTGTGAATTAAATTTTGTTATACCACTGCCAAAAAAAAAAATAAATAAATAAAGTTTGTTTTGGAACATAGTCTTAGAAATTTATTTTACATGTTTTCTGAGGTCAATTTTGTACTACAAAGACAGAGTTGAATAGTGATAGAGATCAGGGGACCTGGAAATTTAATATTTGCTTTCTGGTTTCTTTACAGATTTTTTTCCAGCACCTAGATTAGAGGAAGACAGAAACATTTCTGAGTTTTTGGAAACTTTCTCCCCTGGATCACTTTCTCATCCTTACTATCCTCATACTTATATTATTATCCTATCTTTTAAATATTTTACTTACTGAACTTCACCCTGTACTCAAATGTTCCATATAATCTCTCCCAATAGCTCTTACCTCACAACAGCTCCATTTGTTCCTGATACATCTACAAGTGACCTTTTAGATGCTGTGAAGAAAGTGGCTAAAGGAGACCTTTATCCCTTTCACCCCAGGCTGGATACAGTTCTTTACATTAGTCCTCTATTTTCTTCTGTTCCCTTCCTTTGATGCTCTGTAGTTCCCTGCTGCTACTTCTAGCTCATTTTGTTGCAGCAGTCCTGGCAATGGGACTAGTCACTGTCATCCTAAATTAACTCTATGCCTGCTTCCTCTCACTGACCCACTTTGTTTACCCTATACCTCAACCTTCCCAGAAAAACCACATGATTTTACACTGTTACCAAATGATCTGCTTATAGCTCCCTACTTTCCAAGTCTCTTCAAGAATGCAGACAGCAGCTGGGAGTGGTGGCACATGCCTTATTCCCAGTACTCAGGAGACAGAGGCAGGCAGATCTTTGTGAGTTCAAGGCCAGCCTAGTCTACAAAGAGAGTTCCAGGACAGCCAAGGGCTGTTACACAGAGAAACCCTGTCTTGGGGAGGGTGGGAGGAGGGAAGGAGGCAGACAGCAATTGCATGATTGATTGAAGCTCATCAATTTAAGATGAGCTATTGCCCTATGACCTTAGGAGTCCCTTTTCAATGGGCCCAGAAGTACCCCCTATGACAAAGATTCTCTTTAGCAAAAAACAGCTACAGTGTCCCTACCCTACATTTTTATATCCTCTTAGAGTTAGGAAGGATATTTTCCTGCTAAAAGATTACACCTCCTGCTTTCCATTGTGGCCAGACCAAGCAGCTCCAGAAGCAAGGGACTATGATGTGATAGTAGTTTCCATCCACATAAAGGTCTGCATTTGATCGTATGTACCATTTGGACATCCGTACAAGTGGGTGATAAGATGGCCCTGTGCCATGAATAAACATAGTCCTATCTGTGCTAGCTAGTTTTATCTCAACTTGACAAGCTAAAGTCATCTGAGAGGAGGGAACCACAGTTAAGAAAATGTCTCCATAAGATCAGGTTGTAGTCCTGCCTTTAGGGCATTTTCTTAATTAGTGATTGATGGGGAAGGGCTCAGTCCATTTGTAGTTGTGCCATCCCTGGGCTGGTAGTTCTTGGTTCTATAAGAAAGCAGACTGAGCAAGCCATATGAAGCAAGACGGTAAGCAGCACCCCATCCATGGCCTCTGCATCAGCTCCTGTGTTCAGGTTCTCTGTTTGAGTTCCTGTTCTGACTTCCTTTGGTAAGATGAACAGGGATATGGAAGCTTATGCCAAATAAACCCTTCCCTCCCCAAGTTGCTTTTTGATCATGGTGTTTTATCACAGCAATAGAAAGTGTAGTTATGACACTTAAAAGCTAGACCTACAGCTTCCTCAGCAGTATAACAGAGCTGAAGGGGGGTGTGGTGGGAGACTTCAGGTTCCATAGGCATAACAGATTTGAGAGCTGTGAGGAGGTGGTCTGCTAAACTTTGAAGGCTTAATATTCATGTCACAACAAAATATATATATTTATGAAGGCCTGTACTTTGAAAAATTTACCTCCTCTTTTCAAGTTTTTAACTCCCGATGGGTACAAAGCAAGCCAAGTACTGTGGGCTGGACTTCACCTCCACTCACCTTTTGACCAAGTGCCTTTATGCAGCACACAGCCCACACACCTGTACATATGGTCCTAACCATGGAGGCATGATGCCAGTTGACAGAAGGGTTCATGAGGGAGCAGTACAATCCAGGGGCTTAGAAAAGAACAATCGGAAACCTAGTCCAATTACTTATTTTGGAGTGTTGCCTCATCTGTGACAATATAGCACTCACATTTTAGTGTTATAAAAAACACAAAGGAATACCAGGTGGGGGTGTGATATGTGGAATCTAATGGACCTTCAGAAGTTCCAATTATCATAGGGCAAGGTGCTTGTTCTGATGAGGGACACAGAGAGATGCAGTCACATGCCTCCAGGACAGAGTCACTAAAGGATCACAGGAAACAGGCATCATGTATAGGAAAGATAGTGGTCGTGCCAAATAAATTTGATACAGAATATCCCATGGGATTTCAAAAGAAGAAGGGAATCAAGCCAGCATTTACTGAAGGCCCTTTAGTGGCAAGGCTTGAAGTAGAGGGTGTTATTTAATCTTCCCAAAGAAAGATAAATAAAGCTTGGAGGGGTTATATGACTTCCACAAGATTATACAGCTACTGAAGAACTCAGACTATATCATTTAACATACTCTGTAGCATGGGAAGGCCACTGAAGGGTTGGGACTCATTATTCCATGGTGATAAGCTCAGAGTAAGAAGTGGGTTGAGGTGCTATCTTACTAAGGAAGTGTCTATTGAAAATATGTAAGAAGGGAGAAGAGGTGAGTGTGTGTATTTGTGTTCACTGAGCCTGGAGTACAGTATTTCATCTAGACTGGCTGGCTAAAGATCTTTTTGTTTCTGCTTCCCTGTGCTGGGGTTATAAATCCATGAAACTATACCCAGCTTTTTATGTAGACACTAAAGATCTGAATTTAGCTCTTCAAGCACTTTACCTACTGAGCCATCTCCCCAGTCCAATTTCATGTTTTTAAATCAGTTTTTTAAAAGTATTTTAGTACTCTGGAAAGCTAAGACTAGAGAGAAAACTGTTGTAAGCAGTGTCACTCGGCATCATATGGAGTCATAATTTCTCATGAATGCTGAATCTCTTGCCTCACAGTGCTGCGTGAAAAGCCTCTGGAAAATGCAGGAGGATTGCAAAGACTTTGAAAATTATGGAGACTTCCAAACAGCCTTTCTTTTGAACAGAAATAGTCCAGTTATGGTTTTTAAAAATTGAGTATATAAATAGCAAATAAGAACAATTTTAATTAAAATACAATTAACTAATTCTCTCCCTAGACTTCCACCTTCTGAAAGTTTCCTGTGTGCTGGAAATTTCTTCTAAAATGAAGATCCTAATATAGTAATGAACACTGTAATGTAATGTAATGTAATGTAATGTAATGTAATGTAATGTAATGT